TGTGAGAGATCTAATCTTGCAGTGACCCCACAATGATTTTTATCTCTCTCTTATTGTGTGCCAGCAGCGAAGATGTTCTTTTGCGAGAGAATTCAGGCCAGATAGATTTTGAGATTCTGCAACCAGGTTCTCTCAACCATCTGTTGCCGACTACCTCGCAGTAGAATGAGCGGATTCTGCCAATGGTAGGTTTCACTGATCTTTCAATCGGAAGATTGGAAGACTGTGAGCCCCCTTGAACAACCTCGTCGGCTATCTCATTTTCTTCAATGTCACAATGTCCTGGAACCCAACATTCAGAGCGAACTTGCAATCATGAACTGCTGACTATCGACATATATAGTCACCGGTCCCGTAATGTCGGCAGTAAGTGATTTTACTATCTCGTACGTTTTCGTTGTTGCAAGGATTTCTGCTTGAAAAACGCTACAAAGATTGTTAAGTATATATGTTTCTAATTCCCAACAGTAAACGCATGCACCAGTGCCTTCCTCCTTCTTTGACCCGTCTGTAAAGAATGACCGACCTGGCAGAGGTAAGGAGCCATTAGTCCAGGATTCCCTATTAGGAAACTCTAATTTGATGTCATTAAAGTCTCTGTGAGAGGGAACATAGTCACTAATATGACTATTCCCCCTCAAGAGGTCACAACCTGGCGTTATGTTGAAGATACTAGATGACCATAGTTCAGCGATTTCCAGGCATCTGTTTCTCGTAGCCTCAGGGCACACCTGGCCTCCTGGAATTTAATCAGAATGTCCAGTGGTTGGAAATTCAGGGTTGCATTCAAGGCTGCCTGTGGTGTACTTCTTAACGCTCCGGTGAAGGCGGAAGGAGGTAGAGGACAAGACCCGACTGCCTCTCCAGACTTTCGTTCACGTCGTCGAGTTAAAATTCGGCTCCATAGAATGTGCTGTATGTGAGGGATTGAGGTCGACCATGGCATAGCCGCTTACCATGGTAAGGACTTGGCAGCTAAGCCTGAATAAGCTTGTTGAAACGCCCATGTATCAACAAGGCTCCGTTCTAATACAGTCGGGACCCTGACTGCAAACCGTAGAACGCTGATGGGCACGAGGTTTCATGACACCTCAGGTAAAGTAACCCAGACCTTTGGGATGGTTATTTAGTGGCGGCATTCTCGCCTCGTCGGCCCAGGGATCATAGGCACTCGGTCATTTCCTCCGAGACTCTCCCCCTGAGCCCGCTGATTGTCCGCGACTGTTTATCAGGGATGGAAAATGAAAATTGTGAAAAGGTACCAAAAGAGTACCTTTTTTAATAAAAGAGTATTTTTTTCAAGAAAATACAAAAAAAAAACATTTTATTCAGTTTCATAAAGATCGATTTTCAAGATATCACTTAGTGGATCTTTCTGATGGTAATAATATGAGAATTATTGCTTCTTTCGATTGTATTAGAATATGTATTGACTAATTTTAGTTTCACTACTTCTTTCTCGATAGCCAATATACCCCAAACTAACATGAATTTCAGTTCCAAAGTGCTCTTGAAATTATTGAAGTAATCACGACTACTAGGAATGTCATCAATTTGCCTACCTCATGACATAGAACAGAGTATGTCAAATTGAGTATGTTTGTAAGATACCATTTAAAAAAAATTGGAACTCATTAACTTAATTAATGTTTGTAATTTTAATCATAACTGAACAGTTATCATTCGTAAACCTGTTAATTTTTTCAAGAGGAATATTACAATCACATTAATATCTTTATCTGCATAATTTTGTCGGTCAAATCCATAAAAATTCTAATCCATATATATATATATATATACTACGGTACTTTTCTGGGTAAAAAGGTACTGAAAAAAGTACTATTGTACTGAATTTTCCATCCCTGCTGTTTATTATGCCATGTTCTGACGGGCATTCGAACAACGTAGTTCGCTCTCACAATTACGTACATGAATTAACCCGTTCATACAACACTGTTCTTAATTCATGTCATCAGGGTTTTTTTTTTATTTCAAACTTTTTGTTTCTTGTTTTACAACAAAATTGTAACATATTTGCATGAAACGTATATGGATCTAAATATAAAAAATAATTCTCTTTCTCCTGACTATAATATCAACCCCTATCTCTTTACTTTTAATTCATGTTTTCCATTTTTTCTGAAAATATTGTTGTTTTCAATACATTTTTATATTTTCTCAACTCAAATGTCACATTTAAAAAATTGGAGAATTTTTGTTTGGGTTTCCCCACTTTTGTTTTTCGTTTTGTACGCTAATTAGAACCAAGTGGATAGAAATGCATATTGCATTATGTAGACAACAAAATTTACATCCTTCTGCATATATAAAAACTAGAAAATTTGTTACTTTTCATTCATCATTTTCAATTTTACTGAAAAAGTTTGAAAACTTGAAAATTTTTTTCATGCTGTCAAAATTAATTTATTTTCCATAAATTCTCTCAATTGTTAGAGATGGGACAAAATTCTTGGTGATTCAGAGAGTGATTCGAATTGAACAACGTACAAAAGTCGGTGTTCGCTCAGACAATTTTGTATGGGGAACTAAGTAATTACTTCATAATTAAGGGTCGAACAATGAATGAGAGAGCGAACAACGCTCGTCTGTACATGGCATTAGTTATTCACAGCTACCCAATGAATAATATTGGACTTCCCACTATAGTGACCATGGTATAATAATAGAAGGTAACAGCAAGTGTTGTTGTACAAAAAATGATACAACAACCACCAATTTCGAAATGACAGAAAAATGTAAATAAACAAACAAATTATCATCAAATTATTTTTATTTTGAAAATTAAATTTTTTCGAATCCTCAAAATAAAAATTGAAAAACATGAATGAAAATCTATCAAATTTATATTTCTACCTATTCCACATCTTTCCTATAATTGAATATATATGTAACACTGAATTGGATCTGTGCCTCACTATGTGGAAAGCAAATATTCCCGATCATCTAATCAATTTAATGCGTCACATACTACAATGTGACGAAAATCTTTTTCAAAATATATATATATATGTTGTTATAAATCAAATATGTTGTTATAATCACAGCATCAACTGAAGGAAGTTTTTCTACCCTACGTCGTATCTGAGAAATCAAATGCAAAGCCCTTTCTGTTCTTCATTAGCTATTATTTTTATGCATAAACCTGAAGTGAATATTGATATATATATTGGAAGACTTAATTTGTAATGCGGATTACTATTTTAATATATAATGAGTTTAAAATATACGCAAAGTGCCCTTACAAACAAAAGAATATCGCCTTTAAAGACTTGTTTTTGCAAAATATTCGAATGTTCCTATAAATTTTAACGAACTTATAATTTTTTAAACCTACCTAAATAAAAATAAAGTTTTTAATTTCTATGAAAACAAGAATGAGAACAAGAATTGAGTTAATTTCATTCTTTATATATCAAAACAAAAAAATATATGTATATCGCTTATAACGACTAACATAGCCGGTCCCTTGACCGTCGTTATAAGCGATTTCGACTGCAAAATATGGTCTTTAATTTAAGTACATTTTCACCATTAGTATTGACTTTACATAGAAATATTAGTTTTATTATCTAATGCACATATACGAATTTAACAGATGCACAAATTTTGTTAAAAATTTACTTTTTTCATTTGGCTTCAGCGAACAATTATTCAAGGTAGGCTATAGCAACTTATAAATTAAAATGTTTTCAAAACAACACTTTATATGTGATGTTTTGAAAAATATAGACAAATATATTCTAAAATCCATTTGTATAAAGATGAGTTTTACAACATTGTTAAAAATAAATTTATTCAATGTCTAAATCATAATCCCATCTCGATTTTGAAAACAAAACATGACAAATTGTTGAATTGTTTTTATTCATTCTGACATTATAGTCCACAAAGAAGAGATGTACTTTCTCGTTGTTGACAAAAATTCTTAGTATAATTATAAAATTTTATACTTATAATAAAATTTCTGAATAATAAAGATTATCACCGTTATGCATTCCACATTATATAGTTGAATTCATATTATTATCGGATTTCTCTACTTGTCATTGTATGGAGTTAACCGCTATGTGCAACAATAAAAATTAGGGTTAAAATCTTAAAACAACTATTTATTAGTGGGGAATGTATGGGATTGTTTGCCGAGGGGTAAGGCAGGGAAGACTATAGTTTCGGATCACGCCACTGATCCTCATCAGTTCCCTTAGTTTTTTGTTGGGATATTCTCCCCAGACACTATTGCTTCTATAAAAAAACCTTTCATACCCAAATGTCTCTTGTAACAAAGCGAAGTACTTAGCTGACCAACGACATAAACTGCTTGAGATTTTCGCTGGTGCCTCACTTCGAGGTTAACAAGGCATTTACAAACAATTCCATACCTTTCCCATTTTGGTAAGTCGTTTGAAATGGTCTCATAGTCAGTGTAAATAATCTAAATTTATTATATTTTCAGGATTTCGTAAATCCATATCATGTAAAGTGAGTATGTAAATGCCCTAAAGGCCTAAACAGAATGTTCGCGTTGAGCCATCCGTTGCGTTATGTGTTATCGAAAATACAACAACCAAAAGGAAACGATAAAACCAACGTTCGAAGTTGATGTGCGCTGCGTTTCGGAGTTAAATATATGGTTTGTTCCCGTTCTCCTAGAATTTACTAGTTTTTGCTACGATAACTAATTTGTCTTCATGATATCGAAGAAAATAGTAAAAAATTAGTAGATTCTTGCTGTACGGGAACAGACCAATATTTTAACTTTTTGCTTTTTGATGCATTACGCATCACGGTATATACGTTACGTCAAACAATAATCAGAATATTTATATCGATTGATGTTTGAGTCTAAATCGATTGCAACAATACAGCTGATAATTACTAGAGTATTACGAATTGTTGAAAATATTTCTTGTTTGTAAAATAGAATCGCATCCATATTCTGAGGAACTGGGAAAATAAATCGTTAATTGAAGAACCCAAAAATGTCCGTGGAGGATGTTATCAAAATTAATCAGCCTGAAGAGCTTAGCTTCGAGAAATGTAAGTTTTGAAAATAGGTGATATATATACACACATCCGTATGTGTATATAGGGGACAAAGTAATAAATGATTCTTCTATGCAGATCCTGAGAGTCCGGAGGAATGCAAAAAAAGGGAGTACATTGAACAATTGTTGGCTGAGGGAAATGGTAAAATTGATTTACAGATTCTTAAAGTATTGGCCCGTACGGACCACGGTCTTGTCTCCGACGATTTGCGACGGAAATTGTGGCCACTTCTGGCAGGTGTCGATGTTACAGCACTGGAACCCGCTCCCAAACTAAGCGATTTACAGACCCATCCTGAGTATAATCAGGTGGTATTAGATGTTAATCGATCCCTGAAACGTTTTCCACCTGGAATACCCTACGAGCAACGTATTGCACTTCAGGATCAACTAACAGTACTTATTTTACGCGTTATAAACAAATATCCGTACTTGCGGTACTATCAGGGTTATCATGATGTTGCGGTTACGTTTCTTTTAGTTGTCGGTGAGGAAGTGGCATTTGCTGTGATGGAAGAACTCTCAACCACACATTTTTGTGAATGCATGCAAGAAACCATGGATGCGACCCAGAAGAGACTTATGTTTATTTGGCCAATTGTCAATTTTGAAAATGCTCCTCTCTTTAAATTTTTACAAAAGTCAGGTGTGGGTACACTCTTTGCTTTACCGTGGTATTTGACGTGGTTCGGCCACAGTTTAAATTCCTACAAAGCCGTGGTGCGACTATACGATTACTTTTTGGCTTCACCAATCTATTCTCCAATTTTTGTAACTGCAGCAATCATACTGCATAGATCCGAAGAAATTCTATTGGAAGAGTGTGACATGGCAATGGTGCATTGTCTTCTTTCAAAGGTAGGTAAGCTTGACTAACTTTTACACAGAATATTAATCATTGTAAAATTTAGTTGCCAGATGATTTGCCCTTCGAAGACCTACTGAAAAAATCCAGTAACCTGTATGAGAAATACTCCCTGACCGTCATTGAAAAGGAAGTGGAAAAACTTATTAAATTAGAGTAAGCATTTAGAAATGGTGACACTAAACATTTCTAATTTAACTGTTTTTTTATAGAAAGCAACAAAGACAACGTGAGGAAAAGGAGGCTTTGGAAAGGCGTAATCGATTGACCCGCAATTCTCAGAGAAAGGGAAATTACATTTTGAACCATTGGCTACCACAGATGTTAACGCCAAAATCGTTCATTGTCACCACTGCATTTTCAATACTTGTTGGGATTTGCGCGTACTACTACAAGAGCCAATATATGTCTACTGGAATTAGTTGAGTATATCTGAACTTGCTGCCAATGTCAACTTCTTTCCGTCATGCAGCAACACCATATTGTGGAATAATTGGATTTTCATTGTTCTAGTTTTTACGGTAGGGGTGAAGTTTTTTATACACTTATTTATACATTTCTGAAAGAATAACCCTTCATAAGCATTTAAATTAAGTAAATCAAACGATAACGTATTCACTGGTATAGCACCCGAGTTAATTTTTGTGTTAAATGTCATTTATTTCATTAAGTAAAACTAATTTAATATTGTGGTCCATACTTTGGCCTTAGTTTCTTTGAGGGCATTATCAGAAAACTTTTTGCTTGTAATAGCTCTTAACATGATTAAAATGGGTTTGTTTTTTTATATCGAATTCAAATTTGTAGATATTTGGGTCCGAAAATATCTCCTCTTTTGACTTGGTTATTTCTAACCGATTAAATTAATATACCAACCTATCGAATTTTCCAATACTTCCATAGAACGATAATAAAATTCCAAGGGCATTACGTTTTCGTTTCATTGGAGAAGAATTTTATAAAGCGTAGCAGAGTTGGGTATCTGTTAATAATGTTTTTAATCCCGATTAAAGTATCTCCTTCCCACTGTACACATTTGATTAAAAAGGTATTTCTATGCCCTACAAAATTTGTTTTTTTTTTAGATTTCAAAATTACTCAAAAAATGTGGACACTAACAGCCTGCTTATGTATTTCGAAGGAAAGGTTTCTTTCGCTTTCAATGCGAATGAAAATCAATTTTGGTTCATATAAAAACATTTTACAGGCAAAATAAGTCGAACGATAAACAACTCGAAAGAAAACATAAACGTATATTCAAGGTAGATATATAAGGTAGCCGCATCGGCGAATTGGGAACATGATATGTCAAAATAGTTAACAAGGCGAATAAGAATTGATTCGCCGTAACATATCAAATTTGAAGCGAAATTTATACCACCAATCAGAACAAGGCATTTTTTAAGTAATAAAAAATTGTTTATTTTTTTTAATTTTGTTAAAATCGTAATGTTAAGAATTAAAATTATACTTAAGAGTGCAAAAATCTATTAAAACAGAATTAAAGAGATTGGACGATATGTATTTTCGCAGATACCAAGGGTGGACCGATACTGAACGTGTTTTTTGTGTTTTTCATAGCCTTTCAGAATTTTTGTGTGAACCAAAGGTGTGAAATGAATAACTAAATTATATAAATATTATATATACTATTTTTTATTTTTAAAAGATTTCAGATCCATTTACACTTCGCTATGCAAAACCTCGAAATCGTCATCTAAGCCCACATAAAACTTGTTGAAATACTACAGAGCAGTTGGAGCCACAAACATTCCACAAATATAACTTCTAATCTGAAATTAAAGATGTAGCGTCACTAAATGTTGGTGCTAGGCCCAAGTTTTAGTTATACCTTATGTTGCTGAAACGATCTAGCTTTATGTGCACGTTCGTCTGTACATTTCTGATCAAAAGGTTATGAACCAATATGTTAATATTTTGTATGCTCGTTCGGTTCTGGTCAAAGCAAATATCAAAAATTTTACATTTGGAAGGGCCTAGGTGCTCAAATATGAGACAATTTTCGTAGAATATTGAACATGATGGGGATTAAGTTCCGCAAAACAATTAAGTCTAGTGGTTTAGTATCATATTGTTTGCCCGTTCGACTATACTATGTTTTCAACTATTTCATAACATTTATTTAATAAAATATTGTATTGATTTTCATTTGAAATTAAAATTTACTTTTTTTCCTACCTACGGCAAATTAAAATAACAAAATTTCTTTTTGACATATAATGTTACCATCAGCTGCCTGGATACGGTTACCTTATTTATCTACCTTGCGTACAAATTGGGTTTATGTATGACGAAAAAGCTGTCATCATGCGAACGAGAATGTCAAATTTACTTTGTAGCTTTCGAATCAATTGCAAAATCACGAACTATGTACCAAAATTTGAAGCACTTTCACACAACACAATCTCTATACAAAATAAAAATTTTTGAAACATGTTTTATAGGTATCGCTTGGATTTTTTCATTCATGTTTTTGGAAAATAAAATTGTACAAAATTCTTACAAATACTAAAAAAAATCCATTTGACATATTATTTTCCAAAAACATGAATGAAAAATACAAACGATACCTATAAAACATGTTCCAAAAATTTTTATTTTGTTTAGAGATTGTGTTGTGTGAAACAGGCTGTTAATTTAGTAGTTTTTCGAATGGGATACGTAACGGCAAACGAACGATAGCTTTCGAAATACATGAACGCTTTTTAAAGAAAAGTGAGTGAGTTACTTACTTTCGCTTTAATTTTCGTTCGAAATAGGAAAACAGGCTGTAAAACTAGTAAAAATAATCTTGTCTTTTTTACTTTTGCAGTTATATACTTATATAATTTATCAAGCAAACATATTTATAGCTATAAAGCGAATGAATTTGACATTCTCGTTCGAGTGAGGATAGCTTTTTCGTCTTACATAAACCCAATTTTTAGAGAAAAGGTATACGTTTACGTTTTCTTTCGAGTTGTTTATCGTTCGACTTCTTTCGCCTGTAAAAAATTGTTATACAAACCAAAATTGATTTTCTTTCGCATTGAAAGCGAAAGAAACCTTTGTTTCTCAATACATAAACAGGCTGTTATATATAATTTTTCTTTGTTGGGCGTTGACCTTTTCTTTGTTGGGCGTTGACGTTTGACATTCAGTCTAAAGCAAAGCTATTTAACCACGGTAACTGGTTACACTGATTAGACACATGTTATGTACCTTCTGCTATCTCATGCGGTTTCATAATACAGTCTTAATTTATAATAATACTCCACAAAGCTTTAATACTTAGGAAATGACCAATAAAAAAGAGTGAATATTATTTGAATTCTTTATATGGGGTATCCTCATGAATTAATATGACTAATTGTGGTAAAAATTTCATTTTTCTGAGAGGTGCCGTTTGGTTCCAAATCCATAATTTTTTCCTGAAAATCAAATTTCGGCGTAAGAAGACATTACCTCGTTTTAGAAAACGGGTTAACTCTCTCATAGTCTGGTTGAATGCAGTTTACCATTGACTTTTATCTAGGCATGAGTCATTACTGACACTGAAACTCGTACGTATTAATAATGGTAAAACCCCCTTACAAAGCAGGTATATTATTTACGTTAATACACTGCGTATCATAACTATAGACGCACCCTTAATTCAATTGGTATGTTAGTTGAGAAACAAAATGGACCCATTAAGTTATTGTTCACAATAAAACGACCAAAAACACATATTATTCAACAAAAATAATTAATTTATTCTTTATGGTTTCGCCGAATTCTGCACTTTCAAAATTGCTGGTGTTGCATAACTATAGACGCACTTTTACAAAATTAGAAAAATTTATTTTTTAAAACTTAAATAAAATAAAATTACTTTTATAAATAATGGGTAGGACCTCCCTTATTTTGAATAAGTTCAAAAATTTTATCCATCACACTGTTGATCAAAATTATTCGCAAGTCTTCATCGATTGACCGCCATTCATCGATAATCACTTCTTGGAAATAAAATAATGTTTGGTATTGGCGGTTTTCTGCATAGACACGACGAGGCAAGATTCCACACATGTTCTCGATCGGATTCTGGTCGGAAATTTTAATATTTTTCGATTTTAAGCATACTTGAGTATGGCCACTTTTATGAACTGGTGCGTTGTCCTGCTAAAAAACGAGTCCTTGATTGTTGCTGCTTTCCCAAAATGGCAATAATTTGTCTTCCAAGACTTGAACGTACTCCATTGAATTCATCCGACAACATGGAAATGTCAAATAAAGCATTCCGTGGCTATAAAATGCTCCCAAGGTGGCGGTTACCGAAATATCGTTATTTCTTAATACGATATTTCGGTGGCGGTTCCTTAATGGCCTTGGGAGCATTTTATAGCCTTTATTTGACATTTCCATGTTGTCGAATGAATTCAATGGAGTACGTTCAAGTCTTGGAAGACAAATTATTGCCATTTTGGGAAAGTAGCAACAATCAAGGACTCGTTTTTTAGCAGGACAACGCACCAGTTCATAAAAGTCGCCATACTCAAGTATGGTTAAAATCGAAAAATATTAAAATTTCCGACCAGAATCCGATCGAGAACATGTGTGGAATCTTGACTCATCGTGTCTATGCCGAAAACCTCCAATACCAAAATGTATTTTACCTCCAAGAAGTGATTTTCGATGAATGGCGGTCAATCGATGAAGACTTGCGAATAATTTTGATCAACAGTGTGATGGATAAAATTTTTGAACTTATTCAAAATAAGGGAGGTCCTACCCATTATTTATAAAAGTAATTTTATTTTATTTAAGTTTTAAAAAATAATTTTTTCTAATTTTGTAAAAGTGCGTCTATAGTTATGCAACACCAGCAATTTTGAAAGTGCAGAATTCGGCGAAACCATAAAGAATAAATTAATTATTTTTGTTGAATAATATGTGTTTTTGATCGTTTTATTGTGAACAATAACTTAATGGGTCCATTTTATTTCTCAACTAACATACCAATTGAATTAAGGGTGCGTCTATAGTTATGATACGCAGTGTATGTTACTATTTTATAATTAGAAACAAACTGTCGTAATGTCTGTCAAAAGTGATATCTTTACTTTAAGCTAATAAAATAGTTTATATATTTTTCTTTTCCACCATTAGAATTACAATTTATATTCTTTTCGCCATTTGTTCCTAATTTAAGTTATTTTTTTAATAATATCATAAAAGATTATTTCTAAAGGAAAATATAGAAAATGTAATATAGATAAATAATACATAATATGAACTAATTATTTTAAATATTTTCGATGTAAATTAAAAACAAACACAAACATAGACACCAAACAATTACATGTAAATTAAACTGTCCCAATATAAATTGCGCATTAATATATGAATAGAATAATTTCTTTTTATATTCTCTTAAAAATAATTCGGAATCCTGATCGATGTCTTTCCATTTGGTATGATCGAAATCGTCGAAATATAAGATAAAAACTGTCGAGTGCTTTCCTCTATCTATAATAGATGTTGAAAACAGGTAAAACCAACAAAAATTCCAGCAAGGAGAGGACCAAAGCCCGATTGGGTTGTTGTTGTATTCAATGTATTATTATCTGAACGTACTACCTACAAGTTCCTTAAGCCTAAAGTGTGATCTGTGGCAAAATTCATTGCAATTAAATAATAAATACAAAATTAATGAAGTTACATATCACAAAAATTTCAAAGACAATCAGCCCAATCATGAATACCAAATCCGTAAGGATTATTTGTCTTTTGCCCATCATGAACAAAAATCCGCAAGAAAAATTAATCCTCAAAGTAAAAAGGAGTTATCATGGTTTATGGTTCCCAGGAAATGAACTTCATCGAAGTCCATTGTAAATGCATGCATGTGATTGAGTCGCAAATGGAACTTTAACCAGTAAGGAAAGTAGTAGAGTCGGACGAGGCCGACTTTATGATACCCTTCACCACTATGGGTATATTAAACAGGACCATTAATAAATTTTGTACGATGTGCAAAATTTCATGTCAATCTGAAAAACATTAGGAGTTTAATGCACCATATACTTAAAATCGGACGAAATATAAATGGAAGCTATATCCAAATATTAACCGATTTCTTGCCACAGGTTAGGTTATACTAATTTCAGTACGTTTTGTTCCGATCAGCCATATATTGGTTCCGTGGTGCGTCAATTACATAAAATCAATCGATAATATATAAGGGAGTTATATCTAAATTTGGACCGATTTTCATGAAACTTTGCAAACATCACTCTAGGCTCAATTCAGTACGTCATGCCAAATTTCGTGCAAATCGAAAGGCATATAGGGACTTTGGTGTACCATTTACATAACTATATATGGGAGCTATAAATGTAGACCGATTTTCATGAAACTTGGCAGTCACTCTAGGCTTAATTCAGTACGCTACGCCAAATTTAGTGCAAATCGAAAGGCATATAGGGACTTTGGTGTACCATTTACATAAAAACGGACGAAACTATATCTAAATCTGAACCGATTTTTACGAAACATTTAGACGTCACTCTAGGCTCAATTCAGTACGTCATGCCAAATTTCGTGCAAATCGAAAGGCATATAGGGACTTTGGTGTACCATTTACATAAAATCGGACGAAACTATATCTAAATCTGGACCGATTTTCACGAAACATTTAGACTTCACTCTAGGCTCAATTCAGTACGTCATGCCAAATTTCGTGCAAATCGAAAGGCATATATGGACTTTGGTGTACCATTTACATTAAATCGGACAAAAATATATATGGGAGCTATATCTAAATCTGGACTGATTTTCACGAAACTAGGCAGACGTTACTCTAGGCTCAATTCAGTACGCTATGCCAAATTTCGTGCAGATCGAATGATATATAGGGACTTTTGTGTACCATTTACATAAAATCGGACGAAACTTTATATGGGAGCTATATCTAAATCTGGACCGATTTTTACGAAACATTTCAGACGTCACTCTAGGCTCAATTCAGTACGTCATGCCAAATTTCGTGCAAATCGAAAGGCACATAGGAACTTTGGTGTACCATTTACATAAAATCGGACGAAACTATATATGGGAGCTATATCTAAATCTGAACCGATTTTCATGAAACTTGGCAGACTTCACTCTAGGCTCAATTCAGTACGCTACGTCAAATTTCGTGCAAATCGAAAGGCATATAGGGACTTTGGTGTACCATTTACATAACTATATATGGGAGCTATATCTAAATCTGAACCGATTTTCATGAAACTTGGCAGACATCACTCTAGGCTCAATTCAGTACGCTACGGCAAATTTAGTGCAAATCGAAGGATATATAGGGACTTTGGTGCACCATTTATTTTTGATTATTTTTGGCTGTTACAAACATATGCACAGAGACATGATACCCTGGACCAGACTCAATTCAGTACGCTGTGTCAAATTTCTTGCAAATCGAAAGATATATAGCCAACTTGGTGCATCATTTACCTTAAATCGGACCAAAATATATATGGGAGCTATATCTAAATCTGAACCGATTTTTCCCAATTTCGATAGGGTTCGTCCTTGGGCCAAATATATGAGCTGCGAAATGAAATGCCAAATTTCATCCAATTCGAATCAAAACTGCGACCTTTACTTTGTTTACAATTTAACATGGACAGACGGACGGACAGGCATAAATCGACTCAGAAAGTGATTCTATGCATATTCTAAAAAAGGAACCATGGGTCTATCTCGATTATTTTTGCCTGTTACAAACATATGCACAGAGACATAATACCCAGTACCACAGTGTGGTGAAGGGTATAAAAATCAGTGGAGCTGCATCATAGATGCAATAGCCCATACATTAGAATAAATATTAGAATAGTTAATATGTGTTGTGTTCTACACAACATTGCAATGAATGCATTTATTTTGTTTGTTGAAAAATAATATGGTGCAATTCGGATCGCTCTCTTTATAGGCCCGCCGACTCGTACCTGCGGAGCCCCTCTGAGCTAAACAGTTTTTAATTTTTTTTAAAGGATATTGTTGAAAAATGAAGCTTCCTAATTTTTTATATGCAGTTACAGTTGTTTGTACACGAAAAGTATTAATTTTTAAAGCTTTAAGTATTAATTTTGGTATTCACAAATCAAAGGGAGGACTTTATGACCGATAACTTAAATTTTCTGTAAATGAGAGTAGAAAACCATATAGTTGGCATGGTTTATTTTTAACCTGTGTAAATGTTAAATACCTCCCATTTTAAGATCTAGAACACAAAAAACATGCATCTTTTTTCTTCTATGATATTTTATAATATAATTTGGTATTTATATTGTTTTGGTACTTTAGATAATAGCAACCGTCCATCATAGCTTAGAGAAGCAAATATCCATGGATCAACGTTACTCCATTCCACACAATATACTGAATCTTCGTGTTGTTCAAAAGTCTGTAATAATCCATCTGGTAATACTCTTTCTTGGTACTCGCTATCTAAGAGAGGCGCTTCGGAGCTTACTGAACTGGCGCACGTAAGTAAAACTTTACAGTCGCTGGAACTGCTAAGCAGCAATTGATCATGGAAGTTATTGAAGCGTACCGACCACACCCAATGGGCGTGATCATTTCTCATAAAAACTGGCTCTTTTGGCATTCGACAATCCCATATTTTTATGAAACCATCGTCACCTCCCGTAACAAAGTGACACTGTTTATTCGGATTACAGTCAATGTCCCGTACTAACTGGCCATGGGCGTCCTCTATACTCCAAGCTAAATGTTGGTCTCGAATGTCGTAAGCCCTTACACTGGCATCGTGTAGTGCGACGAATTGCTGGCACTGATGATGATGGGACCACTTTCCCCCGCTGAAGGGACTTATGTGTTTAGTTGATGTACCTGTGGTAATTTCCACTATTTTACTTTCACCTCCACTAACTCTATCAAATAAAATAACTTTGTTGTCCACCACACATGCCAACTTTTCTTTTTGAGTAGGATGAAATTCAATGGATTTCACCTTATCGCCATACTTCATCGTGTCAAGGGTTTCAACAGTATCCCATGATAAATACTCTGATTTTAAATCATGTTTGCCCTCTACCTCGTCACTATATTTCAATATGGCCGCCTTGGTCCTTATAGCATTCCCATTTTGTTCATTGTAGCACGTAGATACTTCATAAAGATTATGGGGATTTGCCGCAATCTTCCATACTTCTCCCATCGGATGTTCAAAAATTTTGGATTTTATGTTGGACCGCTCTTCATTATACTCTATTAAATGTACTTGATTTGTCGAGGGTTTGAGTGAATTAGTACCTATGAAAAATCGAATTTCCTGTGACTCTCCTATTTGAGGTGCCAATGCTCGGGCCTGAAAGGATATGATAAATAGGTTTGAATGTTAAATTATAATAAATATGGAATATACAAACTGTATTGGGGTCGATCTGAATTTTTTGCATTAAGTCACATATTGCGCCATTATTTTTTTAAGCAGGCAGGTCTTGGTTTGCTTATTACTTTTCAGATCGTTCCCAGTCCAGTTCCAATTTTCAGTTTTCCCATAAATATATATACTTGAAGTTCCAGGCCATAAATCTGTCCATTAGATTCGTCCATTTCTCACACAATTTACAAATCAAACCAAAATCAGATGTTTATATTTTAGGTATGACAAAATATCGATAACTGTAATATACTTGTGATTAGCAAGGCCTATTTAACAGGTCAACACATGGCACAATGAATAGGTAGTCCATTTAGCGCATCTCATGTCTCGATTAACTGTCAAAGTGGGTAATTTCTACTTGAATTAGAGGTGCAATGCTGCCAACTTTTTGAAATATTATAAGGAAAAATTTGACAGATAATCGATACAAAAACAAATGTTTTTGTTTTCATACATCACCTTATTATTGCATGATTGGTCAACCCATGATGGAATAATAGGTATGTTATGCCATGTACTGACGGGCATTCAAATAATGTTGTTCTCTATTACAATTACGTACATGAATTAACCCGTTAATACAACGGTATTCTTAATTCATGCCATCATTCAATTCAAGTGGTGGTATGTAAACAGCTGATTGTGGAATTTGTTCGTTTTGATAGGCAAGTGTTGGAAAGGTTATGTATATGAGTCTAAACGCAACCATAGAGTCTAGAGTCAGCGACAGTCGTTTGCCGTGTGTTTCTTATAGGCAACGAGAAATCGCGACGGCTGACGTTCGCGTCTAGCGGCATGACGCTAGAATAGATTTTATTCATTTTTGCTCAGCGTCATACTCAAAATTTCTCTCTTGCTCTCAATAGAGTTGCCATATTTTAGGTAAAAATCAACAGTGCTACCAAATTTCAATGAGAATTTATATCAAAACATATGGCAGTACTGTTAAAAAAAAAAACAAATATTTTCAAAGATTGTGGATGTTTTTTAATGAATTATTAATAAAATGGAAGAAAACTATTTTTTTTCAATAATTTTATCCAAATTCCTTGACATTATTGTTTATTAAATAATAAATTGATTTTGGTTTGCACAACGTAAAATTTTCTGTCAGAAAATGAAAACAAATAATTGACATTTTGTGCCGCTAACGCTAACTCTTTCGTTTGGTTTTCACGCCAGCGAAAAAGTATGACGCTGACTCGTGACTCTCTGGTTGCGTTTAGACTCTATGTTGGGTAGCGGCATGGCACAATGAATAGGTATTCCATTTAGAGCAGCTGATGTCTTGATTAACTGTCAAAGTGGTCAATTTTAATTGAATTCGATGTGCAATGCTGCCAACTTTTTGAAATATTATAAGGAAAATTTTGATACATCATCTTATTATTGCATCGTGGGTAGTGTATGGAAGAGCGTGCGTAAGAGAATTACGCACGTAAAATGAGCAAAAAATATGAAAATTTCAAGGCCATGCGACCATTGAACAGGGACCGTTGTTCAAGCATGAGCATATTGTTGGTAATATAAAACCATTCTAAGGGCATCCGAGAGGATGATGTTCTCAAAAAATATATATAACTTGAAAAAAGCAACCAATGATTGTGAGTTTCTAAGCTGTATATGGCGATACAAATTATTTGCTCAGAAATCATAGAAAAAACAGCAACCCATTTTAACTTGAAGATTAAAATATATATATATAAACTACAACACTCTGAGACCGGTTAGGTCCGTTGTGATCATCCACAAGAAGAGATACAGCGAAGAGAAGAGACCAAAGACAGATCTGTAGGGGAGAGAACATTAGTAAATTAAAGGAGTGAAAAGTGAATGAAGGTCGATGGCCCTATGAGTCAGACAGAAAAAGCGTTACGTGTCAAGGTTGTATGCTCCTAACCATTTTAAGTTTCTAATTATGCGTTCTTTTGGTAGACAGTCGGCCAAATTGATCTTGACACGTTGCACCTAGGTTCGTTGTGCCAAAGTTCGCAGGCTGTTTCGTCAAAGAATGCCTCAAAGTTCCTATAGAAAAGACATATGGGTGGTTTGATTGAGTCATCAGTTTCTAGATCGGTGGACTGAGATCCTCGTCTAGCTAGTTCGTCCGCTCTTTCATTACCCAAGATGTCACAATGTCCTGGTTGGGTACCAGCCGATAGCTATGGTTAAGTTCTTCCAAAGCTGCTCTACACTTGAGGACGGCTTCGGATTTGATGTGACAAGATTTGATGGCTTTAAGAGCCGCTTGACTATCCACAAAGATAGTCACCGGTTCAACGACCTCAGCATCCAGATTTTTTATCAATTCCGCTGCCTTCCAGATCGCGAAGATTTCAGCTTGGAAAACACTACAGTTACTATCCAGCTTGTAGGTCAACTCAAGGCCTAACCTTTCACAGTAGACGCCTGCCCCAGTACCTTCTTCCATCTTGGATCCGTCTGTATTTCCGTCCAGAGGAGGTTACTTCGTTTCCAGTCGTCTCTACTAGGAATAACGACATCTACATCGTCAAATCTAAGGATTGGTGATATATAGTCGCTTAGTTTAGCGCGTTGGTCCAATGCTATACCTGGTTCATTAAGAACACTACTATGCCCAAAGGTACAGTTCCGCCATAGTTTTTGTTTCTGCAGCCTTAGGGCGCTACGCGCAGCCTGACACTTAATGCTGAGGCCCAGAGGCTTGAAGTACAGCATTGCGTTCAGAGCTGCTTGTGGCGTACTCCTTCTGGCTCCTGTAACTAAAATCGCGGCGGCCCTTTGTACCTTGTCTAATTTACTAGATGTCGACTTGAGGCTCAGACAGTTCCACCAAGCAAGAGAGCCATAGGACAAGTTGGGCTTCACCACAGTATTATACAACCAGTGTATAGTCGATGGTTTTAGCCCCCAGCTTTTCCCAATGGAGTTCTTGCATGAATAGAGTGCCATCATTCCTCTCTTCGCCCGCTCCTCAACGTCCCTTTTCCATCGTAGTTGACAGTCCAAGATTGTGCCGAGGTACTTTGCTTCGGGAACCAATGTTGGTGGAACAAAGACGCCGAGCTTACGCTTCCTAGTGAACATTACCAGTTCCGTCTTCGTTGGATTTACACCGAGACCATTTGCCCTGGCCCAGCGTGACAGCGGCAGTAAGGCTCTTTGCATAAGCTCAGAGACTGTAGACGGAAATTTTCCGGAGATCAATATCACCACGTCGTCCGCGTAAGCTACAACTTTGATACCTTTCCCGTCCAATTCCCTCAATATGATATTTATTACCAGTAGCCATAGTAACGGCGAAAGCACCCCTCCTTGAGATGTGCATCTAGTTACCGTTTTCCTGATTTTTGTATTCCCCACACTTGAATTTATAATTCTGCTGTTAAGCATTTTATCTATCCAATATGTCAGGGTATTAGGAATGCCTACTTCCCTAAGTGAGTGATTTATGGATTCATGTTTAACGTTGTTAAAGGCTCCCTCTATATCTAAGAAGGCGGCCAGCGTAAAATTTGAATTTCCCATGTTCCTCTCAATATAGCCTACCACTTCGTGCAGTGCAGATTCCACAGACTTGCCCTTTATATATGCGTGTTGTGAGTTGCTGAGAGAGGTGGTGTCTATGCGACTCCTTATCTCCAGGTCGATCAGTCTTTCGAGAGTCTTGAGGAGAAAGGATGATAGGCTAATGGGTCTATAGTATTTTGGTGCAGAGTGACTTGGTTTCCCTGCTTTGGGAATATAAGTGACCTTTACCTCGTTCCATAGATCCGGAACACACGAGAGAGTCAAACACGCAGTATAAATCCTCTCAAGGATCGGATAAATACTTGGCGAGGCAAATTGAAGCATCGCCGGTAGAATACCATCCGGTCCTGGCGATTTATACGGCTTGAAAGTGTTGACCGCCCATCTTATCTTATTTCTGTCAACCACCCTGCTAATGAGATCCAGATCCGGAGTGACAAAAGGCCGAATGTCATCACGATCACTGTCGATGGTACCCATGTCTTTGCAACCCGGAAAATGAGTCTCGGCTAGGAGATTTAGAGTCTCAGAACCTGAGTCTGTCCACGCTCCACCCGGCTTCTTAATACTACCGATGGACTTCGGGTCCTTGGATAGTAGTTTTCGAAACCGTTGACTCCTTCTATCGATTCACAGAAATTTACCCATGACTTTTTCTTCGCGCGTTTTATCTCACTCTTGTATTTATTGGAACTGTAGGAGTGCCAATCAGTGTCGAGTTTAGACTTATACGCCCTGTTATACAGTCGTCTGGTCGATTTCCTGAGCTCACCAAGTTCCTTGTTCCACCACACTGGCCGAGATTTCTTCCCAGGATGTGTGAGCGGACAGGATTCCTTATGGCAACCTAAGAGAACCTCCGTTAGATTTTTCACGGCCCCGTTGAGTTCCACAACTGTTCCTAAGTTTGTGTTAAGAGTCAGCTGGGAGTTCGTTAGCTCCGTGAATTTCTCCCAGTTTGTTCTCCTTGGATTCCGATAAGGCTGTTGTCTATCTCCGTCAAAAGAGTACTCGGAGAGAATTTTCAAATGATCCGAGAAGGAACATTCATCAGATACCCTCTAATTCCTGATGACGGAGTCGTCTAGATTAGAGAGGGTTAAGTCAATGACCTCCTCTCTACCCCTAACTTTAAAAGTCGGATCACTACCCCTATTACATCAAAAACGGACTCACCTCGTTTGTTTGTGTCCTTGCTACCCCATTGAAAATTGTGAGCATTTGCTTCGCATCCCAAGATAACGTTGCAGGTGCTCGTCATTTCATCGACCATCTTCCGTACACATGTGCCTGGTGGATCCATCTCCTCAAAGGGCATATAGACTGAGGAGAGCAGGGTGGCCTTCCCCGTCTTGTGCTCCAGCCTAACGGTGCACATGTCACCATTGCTGTAATTAGATCGAAAGATTAAATTTAAGCTCTTCTTACCTACTATACATGTTCTCACCTTGTCCCCCATGGACGGGGCGAAGATATCAAAGTACGAGCCTTGGAGGTCGGCTTTCCAGAGGAGGTGGAAGTCTTCTCCGTACTTTGTCGTTTCTCGCAGTTTGTTGTCCAACGCAAGCCGCATAAGAGGTAGAAGGATCTACCAGACGAGAAGTCATCGTCTTCTTGGGTGAGAGTTGCGGACCTTCTGTAGAGCGGATACGCTTCA